ACTGAAAGTCCACAGGGTAAACCTTGTATGCCAGCCTTCCTGGCATATTCTGAAACCCTGTCTACACTCAACACCCTATTAACAGTAGCTCTGAAAGTCTCTCCACCCAGAATTAGATGAGATATTTTTCATGTCCTGTACTTAAATAAATAAGCCAAAAATTTATATTACTGGTAGTTGCAGGCAATTCAGAATGAGGCATGCAAGACATATTAATAAGGTGATAGTTTAATAATTCTAATGCAGCAGGGACTTGTCGAATATTTAAACCTTTATTGAAACTGGAACAAAGCAGCTAGTCAGTGACTAAGATATATGATTACTGCCACCAGATCTTTGCTCTTAGGGAAAAAAAATCACTTCAATCCAAAGCACCAGCTCTTATTTCAGTAATCCCTATGCAGTTTCGTATTTATTCAGCTAGACTGTTTAGGCCAAAGGCTAATGATAAGTTTTGTTTTCATCTGTCTCTTGGATGCCTTGGTTAATCCATTTGTACTGGAAACATATGTTTTGAAAGTGGTAATAAAAGTATACAGCGATGGGTTTAAACATCGGCAAATCATAATCTGGCTTTGGAACTGTTACTTTTAAAGAATCCAATCACTGTTTGAATATGATGGAGCTCAGCAAAGGTCATGGCAGTGTTAATTTTGTTGTGCGAATTCGGGTTGGAATCCACTTAAACATGGTGGGACGGAGGTTCATCAGCTTTTCATTAAATAGCACTAGTGTAATTTGCATGCAATTATACTGAAGTCCTTTAATACATAATCAGAGGAATCTCCCTGTAATCTACGGTGTAAACAGGCAGCTCATTGTGGAAGCAAAATCCAAATGCAGTATAATAATTACAGTTTTGATTTCAAGTGTCTGAGGGGAAATGGTGTAATATGCTTAATCTGCCCTGGCTTTGAAAAGTACACTACAATTTTAAAAAGTAAAGTTGACAATTATTTTTTAAGGCAGAGCATGTTAAATTGTCTTCCTGTTATTAACTACTTCTCAGTGCTTGTCTGTACCTGAAATACTGGTAGGATCTTCTGGGCCTGCAGGAGGCCTTGAAAATGAGGTGAGTTCTTGTTGTCGGGACTGATACCCAATGCCTTCCTGCCTCTACAAATAAGTCCCCACTTTCAAAGTCAATGGGTTTCCTGCCATGCCTAGGGACAGCCTTGATTTGCATTAATTACTGTGTGATCAATGAGTGGACAATGGACATAGGGTAGGGTGCTGTGTGGAGGGAGGAGGCCTGATCTGGATCACAAAAAGTTATATTTTATGACTCTAGTGGCTGCAAATATGAGGCAGTAACACTTCAAATTTTTGTAAAAATAATTCTCTTCCTATTCAGCCTCGCTTAACCCTAAAATTATAAGAAGTATGAACAGGAGTAGGCCATTTGGTCCATCCAGCCTGCTTCGCCAGTCAGTTGGATCATGCCTGATCCAATACTCTTTACATCCCCTTTCCTGCCTTTTTATTTCCCCCATAACCCTTGATTCTGTACTGAAACAGGAATGTTTCTATCTTGGATAGTAGGAACTGCAGATGCTGGAGAATCTGAGATAACAAGGTGTAGAGCTGGATGAACCCAGCTGGCCAAGCAGCATCATAGGAACAGGAAAGCTGACATTTCGGGCCTAGACCCAGAAGAGTCTAGGCCCAAAACGTCAGCTTTGCTGCTTGGCCTGCTGTGTTCATCCAGCTGTACACCTTGTTATCTCATGTTTCTATCTTGGTTGAATATACACAAGGCCTCCACCTTCACGGCTGTCTCTGCGAAGGAGTTTCAAAGATCTCAACTCTCTGAGAAAAGAAATTGCGCCTCAATTTCAGTCTTAAATTGGCGACCCTTTATTCTGAGACTATGCCCTCTGGTCCCATGTCTGGTGTGTGAAACTGGGTGTTCCTATGTCAATACTTGACCTCACTGAGGAGCTCTTCAAACTCCCTTAGTCAGTGTCTGCAGGGGTTGGGTAGCACTTTGACCCAGAAAATAATTCTGAATACTGGTATTTCAGAACAATACGTGGTTTATGTGGGCTCAGAGTAAGTTTGTGATTGGTGGACGCGCCTGGTGAGGTGTGGACAATGCATTCCTGGTGTAGAGATGAGGAATTCTGACCAGAGTGTGATTTTTTTTTTCTTGGAAAGGATCATTACTCCATTCCTTCCCTACTCCTTCAAGTGAACATTTAGAAAAATCATTAATTGTTAGAAGATAGTGTTGTTCATGCATGTGCATGTAGACAATGAATAACCTTAAAATATCAGTGTTTGAAGAATTGAGCAAATTTGTCAGATGGTGGAAACCGAAAGCGAAAAGTTCAAAAAAAAAACAAGGTGTAATGAAATGCTTAGTTCTTATGTGTTGAGTAATATAGAAAAGGCAACTGACAGAAAAAAAATTACAGGGCAGATTGTGGCAAGTGTGAATCATGCCACTTTCTGAAGAGATCTGGCATCTAAATTAAATATTGGCAGGCTTTAAGATGAAGTATATCAGTGATACATCAATGTGACAACAAAAACTAACTGGAAACCAGGAAGCAGTTTAAATCATCTCCACTACTTTCTGTTCATTCTTGCATCAAAAGAACAGTAGTGTGTACATTTCTTTTTTGAATTTGGGCAAATTTACCTTTTAAACTCCTCACCAGGTCTTTTTCGGTTTGGACAATAAGTTAATTGTCAGGTGTGTTACAGCATCATACAGACCCAGAAGTTTTTTGTTTCATTCCAGTCTGTATTCAGTTAGCAAATCCCAGTTGGAATACCACAATTTATCTTAGCACCCAAACTAAATACAAACTATTCACTCTTACAATTGATGATTACTCAATCATTTCTTCTAGAACTTGTGTGTGTGTCTGTGCGTGTGCTCGTTTGTGTGGGAGAGGTGGTAATAGAACTATGCTTGGATTTTCCCTGTTTAAAAACTACTCAGTATATAGGTCGTCACGTGAAGAATGATTACTTTGGAGGGTGGCTGATGTCTATGGAAAAGTATCCTGGTGTGACTCATAGACTCATAGAGTCATACAATACGGAAACTGACGCTTTGGTCCAACCCGTCCATGCTGACCAAGTTTCCCAAACTAAACCAGTCTTATTTCTGAGGAAGGGTCACCAGACTCAAAACATTAACTCTGTTTTCTCCTTCACAGATGCTGCCAGACCTGCTGAGCTTTTCCAGCAACTTTGTTTTTGTTCCTTATTTCCCTGTCTTTTAGCCCATATCCTTCTAAACCTTTTCTATTCATGTACCTGCTCAAATGTCTGTTAAATGCTGTAACTGTACCTGGATCTGTCACCTTCCTCTGGCTGTTCATTCCGTATAGGGACCACCCTGTGTGTAAAAGTTGTCTGTCAAGTCCCTTTAAATCTTTCTCCTTTCACCTTAAAACTTATGCTCTCTCGTTTTGAACTTCCCAACCGTAGGAAAAAGACCTTTGCAATTAGCCTTATATGTGCTCCTCATGATTTTATACACCTCCATAAGGTCACCCCTCAAACTCCTATCCTTAGGGGTTAGCATCAGCCAAACATTTTGAAAGAGAAAAGGGGTCAGAAGGAAATCATAATATTTTTAATCATCTGAGCTCTAACACAAAGCCACTTCATAAGTGATCAGCTCAAAAGAAAGACAAAAGGGCTAATGTTGTTGTTTTCTAACAGGAATGCACATTTTAACAGATTCAAATGAAATTACTTGGTACTATATTTAGTTAAACTCACTTAAACACAAACACATTTTGTTTCTTTTATATGCATGACTGAGTGTTAATTTGTGTGTAAAGGTAGGGTTCAGAAACCTTAAGACTTAACCATTACCTAGTCCTCAGTCTTTCTGGATCAATGATAAATAAATTCTTACTAAAAGACCAGTTTGCAGCATCTCCAGTTCCTAGTGCAGTTTGATGCTGCTGCAACATGCTGTTTCTGAGAACCTGTGCAGTCTACTGTGCAATAATATGTCAAAGGTTTGACTTGCCTGAGGCTGATGCAGAACCATCTATAATATGCTTTATGCTATTGCTGAAAACAGGAATAATTTCTCGAGCATTTATTCGTGAAGAGAGCATAAATGCGCATTTGTAAATAATTTTACAAAAATATGTCAAGGTGCTTAACAGAACACGTAAATCTAGTCAAGTTGAAACCCTATTGCTGAAGTAATTTGATTGACATTTACAATTTGTGATCTTTCTAGACCCTACATCGCTATTATTTGCATACCAATCTAATCCACAACTTTCTTGCATCTTATTAAAAAAATATAGCTTCTCTCAGTCACACTTCAAAACAGATTTAAATTTTTAAGGCCCTAAAATGATCTGTTTTTTTTTAATTATTTCAACGTCTATCTAAAAATATGAAAAAATAGACTTTATTGTGCTTCACTTTGCATGAAAATATGTCACTGTTTCAAAGAGACTACTAAAATCTACTGCAAGTCAAAGCTCTTTGAGTCACTACCTCACTGTTGTGCACAGAAATTGACTGGTTGAAAGAAGATAAAAGAATTGAAACTTGCCAGTTCTTATTAAGTGAGCTTCACCAGTTCCAGGTCAAGCTCACAGCTGGAGAATTGTGCGACTATTGTTTTCTACTTTTTACAGAAATGAATTGACAAGGCCAGCTCTCAACCCCCAAAGCCACCATCCTAATTTCCTAAGAAACCATGATGTCCACAGGCTAAGTGCACATGTGCATGTTATCCTGTCCATTGTTATTCCTTTTGGCATTGGATGAACTGAAATGAACAAATGACATATTTGAGCACTTAAATAAAATTTCTTAAGGTGATATATTTTTTCCTTATTTTGATCACCTCAAAGATCTTAGTGAACAACAGTACATAAATCATCTCAAAACAGAAGAGATTAGAGTTAGTCAGCTTTTGCAATGAGCAAAATCTGCAATTTGCAAACTTTGCAATGAACCATCCACTGAAACTGCATTTTCCTTTAAGTTTGTTTTCTGATCTGTTGCAGGTTATTCCATACTGCAGTCAATTATGGAAAAAGCGGGCCAGAATGGCTGGCAAGTCAGTGCTATCTGTATAGAGAATTTTGATGATGCTAGCTACCGACGTTTACTAGAAGACCTGGAACGAAAACAGGAAAAGAGGTTTGTTGTGGACTGTGAAGTGGAGAGACTACATAACATTATGGAACAGGTAATGCTATTAATTTCAAATCAATATCAATCAGGCATTCCTCGGCTAAACTCCACCACGTAAATATTTAAGAATTGCTTTTTGCCGAAAATAAATTCTTATTTGGAAAACTAATCACACCTTCTGTACAGCTGCAACTTGATGGTAAAATATATTTTTGAGATTGGAGCAGGACTTCAACATCAAAACTATAACTAAAATGAGATTAGAATTGATCAATCTATTGAGAATACTGTGCAATTGTGCAGAAGAAAGGATGTTCATATTTTGAAAAATGAAAAGGTCACTGGGTATCTACAGATGCAGAAGGAATTGAGTTGTGACGTTATCTTTCTATCTGCTCTAAGTCCATCCATGAATATCAATTGCCACCTCATTAAATTTAAGGTGCCTGTCATATTTAAACAATTTTTGAGCAGCTTCTTTTCACCAGGCAATGTATGCACTGTTACAAAAGCACTCTGCTTCCAATTAATGTGCAAGTTTTGAATGTTAACCCAATTTGACAAGATGCTGCCATGCATCAATCAGTGGACAGTCTTAAGTATTGCTACACAGGAAATTCTGATGACATTGCCGACAGTCTGACTACAACAGTGAATATATTTTATTTGCAGACATATTAGACTGGGATACGGCAGTGTCAAAACATTCAGACCTTTGGGTATTTCATGCAGACCTATCTTCTACTGCAGTGCTGCAGTTAGGTGATATGATGACGAGAACCTTTTGTAACTATTTAAAGAAACATTGTCTTTTAGCAGTAGAATTTATCTTTAAGCCAAATATAGATTTGAATTCTTTGACCTACTGATTTGTTTGTTGTCAGGGGTGATTTTCACTTTGAGTATAAATGAAATGACATTGATTTAAGCCATCAGTTATAGCCCTGCCAATTTTCAGGGAAGGGACAGAATTCTAGAATGTGGGGACTATCCTGGTGGAGACATGGCTGTCAAATGGGTAGAGGTTGGGGAGGAAAAGCATAAAATATTGGAGAGCTCAAGCTGAGGAGCATACAAACATAGCAAGAGTAGGCCACTTGGTCTCTTTAGATTGGCCCATCATTCAATGAGATTGTGGCTAATCGGACTTTTCCACATCCAGCCAACAAGGACCTCTCAGCCCCTTTCTGGTCAAGAATCTATCTACCTCTGCCGTAAATATATTCAATGACTCTGCTTCCACCCCATTTTGAGAAAGAGAGTTCTGAAGACTTGCTATCTTTTGCTTTAAGAAAAACATCTTCTTGAGTGGGTGACCATTGATTTTGAACCAGTGATCCTCAGTTCTAGACTCCCCCACAAGAAGAAACCACCTCCTCCCAACTCCCCTGTCGCAACCTCTCAAAATCTTATATGTTTCAATCAAATCACCTCTCACTGTTCTAAATCCCAGTGGACCTGAACCTAGATTGTCCAATCCTTCCTCATCAGACAATTTGCCCATTCCAGACATTATTCTAGTAAACTCTGAACTGCTGCCAATGTATTGTATCCATCCTTAAATGGAGTTTAATACTGTATATGGTACTCCAGACTTTACCAGTGAAACATAACTATCTTCCTCGTATTCAATTCCTCTCATAATAAACAATAACATTCTATTAAATTTCCTAATTGATTGCTGACCTGCACTCTAGCATTTTGTGATTCATGCACCAGGATACCCAGATCCCTCTGCATCTCGGAGGTCTGCAATCTCTCACCATTTAAATAATGCTGCCTTTTTACTCTTCCTGCCAAATGGTCAACTTCTCATGATATTCTATTCACCAGACCTTTCCCCACTCACTCGGCCTCCTTATGCTTTCTTCACAATTTGCTTTCTGACCTACCTTTGCATCATCAACAAATTTAGCTACCATACCTTTGGCAAGTTCTTCAAAGTCATTTATATAAATTGTAAGAATGAGTGCATGTAGAACTAGACAAGGTGACAGAGGTAGAGAAGGATAGGAATTATACATTTATGGAGTTAGGGGCATCAGAAACCAATTTTGATCAGGGGCAGCAGGCTTTAAGGATTGTATGGGAGGCAGGATATGAGTATCTGGCTTTCGGATGAACTAAAATTTGCAGAATGCAAAAGGTGAGAGGCTGGTCGAGAGAGAATGGAAGCTGTCAAATCAAATATTGTGATGTAAAAAAATCAAACTTCAAACCACACAGTGACCACGGACAGGGTAGAGCCAATGATAAGTGTGTGAAATTTATAGTAGGGGCTGAAGACTTATTCCAGGAAACTTCAGGTCGTGTAGGACTGGATGTTAGACATATAGGACAGAATTGGGCATCATGTGTATTGGCTAGAGATCCGCAGAGAGACCTCAGCTGCCTTGTTCAGGAAGACAGTTCCACTGAGGAGGCCCCGGGTGCTACTGGAACAGAATCCATCAGTCCAAGGAGCCAAGACAAAGGGAAGTGATGTAGTTGGGGAGGAAATAGGGGTTCTATGGGTTGAGGGGGCCATCTTAATGAAAATCAATGGCCTAACAATGACTTGTATATTCAAGTTGCAATTCCTGACACCGGAAACTAAACAGCTAGGCAGAGTCAGAATACTGTATACGTACACCACATGGAGTCGTTTGTAGGCAAAGTACACATACAACAGTAGGATAATGGGTCAGCAGTAAGGGGAGGGGGTGGATCCTAGCAGGCACTGTCTTGCCTGATGTCCATCCCCCAATTGGACCGTAGTTTGACTTTGCTCAAAGGAACCCACTGCACCACCCTTGAGGTGACAAATTGCCCTCAGGATCACCGCTGTTGTGAACACCACAGAGCAGCAGGGTTAATCAGGACAGCAGTGGGCTAAGACCTTTTAAGTGTTTCTTTACACTTTAGCATCTCAATTGGCAGTGCAGCAGGAAGGTCCACCATTGGCCTTCCCATGGACATGCCCTCAGCAACTTCAGAGGTGAGGATTCCACTCACTGTCTGATATTGTGGGTTGTGGTCCGTAGTTAATCAAAAAAACTGGTGGAAAAGTGGGGTTTGTTAACTTTGTCATTGAATCAGTTCTGTTTCTGTGGATGATGTTCTGAAAATGCACCATGTAAATGAGGAAGAGGAAGGACCTAAGGATGAATTTTTAGGGCAATCTAGATCTAACAGTGTGGACAGTAGGAGGAGAATCCATTTCTGAATTGGCAACAGTGAGACCGAGTTAGGGCATTCCCATTGACAGTAGAGTAGCTGCACTGGAGTATATTGGTGTTGGCAACTGCGAGAAAAGTTTGCTGAGATCTAATGAGTTGAGAGAGCATATAACACCAGATGATATTTCTCAATGGTGCGTTAGCTTTCATTAATAGAGGGATTGAGTTCAAGAGCCATGAAGTTATGCTCCAGCTATACAAAACCCTGGTTCGGCCACATCTGGAGTATTGTGTCCAGTTCTGGTTGCCTCATTACAGGAAAGATGTAGAAGCATTGGAAAAGGTGCAGAGGAGATTTACCAGGATGTTGCCTGGAATGGAGGGAAGGTCTTATGAGGAAAGGTTGAGAGAGCTAGGGCTTTTCTCTTTAGAACGACGAAGGATGAGGTGTGACTTGATAGAGGTGTACAAAATGATCAGAGGTATAGATACAGTGGACAGCCAGAGACTTTTTTCCTCGGGTGGAGGTAGCTATTATGAGGGGGCATAGTTTTAAAGTGAGTGGAGGTAGATATAGGGAGATGTCAGAGGTGGGTTCTTTACTCAGAGAGTGGTCGGAGCGTGGAATGCACCGCCGGAGAGGGTAGTGGTGTCGGCCTCATTAGGGACATTTAAGCGGCTATCAGATAGGCAGATAGTATAAGGTAGGGGTGGAGGTTAGATAGACCTTAGGTTTAGGGTAAAAGTTCGGCACAACATCGTGGGCCGAAGGGCCTGTACTGTGCTGTACAGCTGTGTTTTCTATGTTCTAACCCCGTTGTTTCCTTTGAAAATTTGAATTGTTTCAGTGTATCTAACAATATCATATCCCATTGATCGTCCAATTTAAATATTTCAGAGCGACTTCTTTTTTGAGATCATTTGTTAAGCACAGCTTTTGTGAGGAATCCAATCCATATATATCACTACTCTACAAATTCTTTTCAATTTGCAAGTCTTTCTTGTTCATTGCTATATGTGTGAGACTTTAAACACAGCAAGACACCACCATGATTGCATCAAGCCTTTCTTTAATTTCAAAATCATGCTCAATTTTCCAACGTCCAGAGAATTGTTTCTGAAGTGTAGTTAGGGGTTAACGGAACCTCCATCATAGCAGACCCTGAAGGAATTGCCTCTGAAATTGAAGATTCTTCTGGACAATTACCTATATCCGGAACCCTCTGGAAGTCTCCATTTAAATCGACAAATTCAAAGGGTACCATTAAAGCTAAGTAAATAATTACACAAGAAAAGTTAAGCTTTTAAATACTCAGCCTAACTCCTGGGGAATTATTAAACTGATCCCCTAGCTTGCCTCTCATACCCACAAAAATACCATTCCCAGACACCCAACACACTATGGAGCTGGCATCCCCTTTCACCCTGGTACTTTAGAACTACACCAACACGCCCCAATCACTGACAACCCCTACATTGTCAGGATTTGAGCCCGCCCTCATCTCTTTCCTCGCCTATCTCCCCAACCCAGCTCTGGAGCTATTTTTTTAAAATATATCTCCAACACTTGGGTGTCCAGGTCCAACTGACACACATCTTCCCTGACTCCTGGACGCAGCACCCCCGCTTCCCTGCTCTGGACCAGATACCTCCGCTGTGCCCAATTTAAACCCCAAGGACACAACATTCTCTTATGTGCCCCACCCCCACACCCCTCCCAAGCACCCATGGGACTCAACATGACCCACTCCATGTCACCAATTCTTCACTTACCTGCCCACCTTGTACTATACCCATCTGGCACATTAGCCCCTGACATTGCCAACATCTCATTTGCATACTTACATAAAAACATAGAAAATAGCTGCAGGAGTAGTGCATTCGGCCCATTGAGCCT